GGATAGAACATGATGATGACAATAATAATAGTAATAATAATAGAATAATAGCACCATTTTAATGAAAAGCTCAAATGATTTTAAAGTACAATAATCAAATTCTAAATAGTCTGGGAACCGTGGATCTCGTATTTTGCTGTGGATCAAGCACCTGGCTGACTCTGACCAACACTTGAACTTTTATATAGTGTTCATACCTCATACTCCATAGTCATGGCTAGTAGGTGCACTTGAACATTCTTTCCCGCTTCTTGACTCTACCTACACTCCCTTCTCTTTCCCCCTCCCCATACTTTTCTACTTGTGTCCATTTAAACCTCCAGGTCCAATGTGGTCTGCTAAAAAAAAGGAAGAGGATCCGTCCACTTCTGTTTAGGCAGATTGGAGCAGAGGGTAGTTGGGTGTATACAGGCAGCAGAGTCTGTTTAGGCTCCATTCACACTTGTGCGACTTGTCATGTGACCTTCGACACATAAAGTTGCATGACAAGTAGCAGCCTATTGTTTTAATTGGTGCCTGTTTTGATCTATGTAAGTTAAAGTCATAGCTACTTTCAAAAGGTTCCTGCACTACTTTGATGTGACTTGAGTGCCAGAGATTGTAAAGTTGCATCAAAGTCGACTTGTGGAGTCGCACTAATGTAAAACTGAGCCTCTCAGCTGCCCATAAAGCAGAGCAGACTAAGTCCGTGTCCGGTCTGCAAAAATTGACGTGGACACGGTTCCGTAATCTGCCCGCTCTGCTCCGATTAGCAGGGGATCTGTGAGCTGATCAGAACAGAGTGCACTCCATGTGAAGGAGCTTTTTTGTTTAAACCAGATGGTAAAATCCCTAACTTGTTTATGTTTACCTTTAGTAAAATGTTGCAAACATGTTCATCTGCATCACATGAAAACAGGCTATGTTCACACATGTGCAGGTGGTTGCAGCTGCAGAACCCCACTTGTTCCCGCAGCTGCAGCCTCCCACACAGAGGTGTGTAGAGATACCATTAATCCTAATTCTCCTTGATCAAGCTGCATCTTGATCATGGTTTCCCCTCACTGGGAACCACACTGCACTATGCGGTTTCCCTGTGGCTGCGTTTTCTGAAAACGCACAGGGACCTTTTCCCTACATTGTCAGTGTATGCAGCAACCCAATCAAATGCAGCCAAAGGGAAACCGCATAAGTGTGAGCGTACCCATAGGGGCTGTTCACATCAGGATGTTTCCATGCAATTTCCCGTGTGGTGAATTTTGACAGCACATTCATTTAAATGGGTTACAAAATGCACTGGACCGCAGAAAAAGTTGTGCTTACACTACTTTTTAAAAGCGCACTGCACCAAACCACATTTTACTGCAGTTCCATGCAAATCTGGTGCCGAAAACACACAACGTTTGGGATCTGAGATTGGGGTGCCATTAACAATACACTGGCGCCTGCATTCAAATTGAAAGTGCAGCTCGTTTCACCTGCGGTGTGGGAAACTTGCACGGAATGCGCCTTTCTCACACCACGTTCTGGTGTAAGTCACCAGTCACACTGCGATTTAAAATTGTGCGATTTGTGTGCAATTTTAGCGTGATTTCAGGTGCGGTTTTTTGAAGACTTTATTGCTACTTGTGAAGATTTTCAACAATTTCTTGCGATTTGCTGTGCGATTTCCATTATATTCTGTATATGTGAAATCGCAACAAAACTGCAGAAAAAGTCATGCAAGAACTACTTTAGAAATCGCGCTGCAGCAAATCACACGTTAAAGACACCAACATTTACATTCATGATGCAATTTGAGGCCTTAGGGCCTGTTTAGTGCCTGGTCACACCAGTGCAATTTATGAATTGAAATCACACCTGAAATCGCACCAGTGCGACCATACATGAAACATATTTCAAATGGATACTGCTAGGAGAACCCTTAAAACTTTATGAGCACTAACCTTCACAACCTCTGAAAAATTGAAAATAAAACACTGTAAGGGCTCATTCACACTTGATTGTTTTTCCAACTCATGTCAAACGCCCCTATAGTGTTTGACAAGAGTTGGTCCGGCGTTTGCGGAGCGTTTTTTAACGCTCCGCAAACGCCGCATGCGCGGTTTAGCGGCGGTTGCTAGGTGTTGCAAAGCATTAAAAATGCCCCACAAACGCCTATAATGAAGTTTGGAATGGTGTTACCGCTCTGCAAATGCCCCGCAACCACAAACGCCAGCCGAGCGTTTGCGGAACGGCATCATACGCTTGAATAGGAGGCTTCAAGTCCTCCTGATTCGACCAGAGGCGTCCATTTTGCCGCGACGCAATGCGACGCTAAACGCTCCCATGTGAACAGCACCATGTGCTGCAATGTGCAGAATTTTCCCAGGTGTTTGGGAAGCGGTAAAAACGCTTCCCAAACGCCTGTCTGCCGCTTGCAAACAAGGCTAGTTGTGAACGTAGCCTAATAGTTAAACAAAATAAGTGCATACATGTGCCCTATGAAGACCCTTACCCCTCGGAAGGGTGATCAAAATAAAAAAAAATGATTTTATAAACTGAGTGAGTACAGTAATCACAAATACATGTAAGAAACCGTTAGATGTGGTCAAACTAACCTAAAATATCATGCATTATCTATGAGCCTGATGAAGACCCTCACACCTCTGAAGAGTGATCGAGGTTGAGGATAGGTCAAATTTCAATGTGAAAAAAATTCACCTCAAATATACATAAAGGTTAGTAGAAAATTTTCAAAAACAATAACAAAAAGTCTATATAGACATAAACCATAGTCTATAAGTATGAGAAGAAAATTCCACAATCGATGGTATTATAGTAGACAATGCTGCAAGTGCACACCACCACCAAAGTAATGAATGGAGGCTTACCAGACATGGAGACCCCTTAATTACAGGGGGTCCCAACCAGCTTTATAATGTAGAGCACTGACTGGCTTCCCGTGTCACGCCCAAAAACATGGAATTTCCCGACTCCAACTTGAATGAAAACTCAAAGTGTAGTGGCAGACAAGGTCATGAAAGAAAAAACATGCCTCTCATAGTGCAATATGTATCTATTTGTGCAAACAGGACCCTACTTACAAGCTGTAGAACACTTAAAAGCATTCACATGACCTGCACACAAAATGGCCGACAGCGCAATAACGTCAGAGGGAGGCTCTGCCCAGGGTCTGTGAGAGGCATGTGTTTTCTTTCATCGGGTGTTTTTTATTCCAAAACGCTGTTGCCAGGAGAGAAGGCTTCTGGGAGAATTTTCAGAATGTCCAGTGCCCATGAGGCCTAAACCATGATCAAGCCAGAGCTTGACTATGAAGGTTCTGGTTGCTGTGTGATGGATAGATGCGTGGACTACTGAGATTCTCAAGAAAGAAACTAAGGCTCCATTAACACTCGTGCAACTTCAAAAAACGTGTGATTTTCATTGCAACGTCATAGTGCTACTTGATGGATGAGTGTGACTTTGGCTTTGACCAAGGATAATTGTTTGTGTTCTACAACCTTAGGTAAAGTTGATGCAGGGAATATCCGATTGCCTCTCGGGGGATCAGGAAGGACTTTTTTTTTCCCAGCAGGAGCAAATTGGATTATGATTTGCTGGGGGTGTTTTTTGCCTTCCTCTGGATCAACTGTGGGTATAGGATTATAACTTCTTTTTTGAATGGTTGAACTGGATGGATTGTTGTCTTTTTTCAGCCAGACTAACTATGTAACTACAAAGCCGCACACAATTTGCATGTATATCAATCAAGTGTGACTTTCATGCGATTTGTGGGGGGGGGTTTACATTGCAGTCTATGACCCTCAAGTCGCATGAAAGTCAGACCAAATTAGTGCAGGAACTACTTTCAAGTTGCTGCAAACTCAGGTCGCACAGATATGAATGGTACTCATGGGGTGCGACTTGTCATGGAACTGTGTCATGTGAATGGGCTCTAAGTGGCAGGTTAGTGGTTGTAAAGGCTTTGGGTTTTTTACCGTCCTGCATTGTATGCAGTACAGTAAAAAACCTTCTGTGTGCAGCAGCTTCCTCAGCCCCATCACGATCTTGCAATGTGAATGAGAGCCTCGGCTGTGTCCCAGGTCTCTGCCTCCTTATTGGCTGGGACAGCAAGCGGGTGCTATTGGCTCCTGCTGCTGTCAATCACAGCCAATCAGCCAATGAGGATAGAGAGGGGGTGGGGCCAAGCCACAGCTCTGTGAGTGAATGGACACACAGAGCAGCAGGTGCCCCCATAGCAAGCTGCTTCCTGTGGGGGGTACCCGACAGGAGTGAGGAGCCGGGAAAGCTTGCGGGGGACCCGGGAAGAGAAGGATCCAGGCTGCTCTGTGCAAAACCACCACACACAGCAGGTAAGTATAGACAGGTTTGTTATTTTCCAAAAAAAGAACCTTAAGGGCTTCTTCACACTTGACTAAGTTTCTAACTCTTACCAAACGCTCCTATAGCTTTAGACAGGAATTAATGAGCTTTAGACCGGCTTGTTAAAAACACTCCCCAAAGCCTTATGTGCAGTTTTGATGCATTTTATAAGCATCTGACAAGTGTTAAAACCGCACCACAAACCAAAAAAAACTGTAATGTTATTAACGCTCCGTGACCGCACCGCAAATGCCTCGCAAATGCCTGCCAGGGTGTGTGTGAGGAGCGTCACCATAGACTTAAATAGGAGGCTTCAAACTACTCTTGACTCAACATGACGCTTCAGTTTTGAAGCATTGCGACACTACCGCTTCATGTTTTGATAATGTGAAAAGCAGAGTGTGTTGCCCATAGTATCATTTGCATAGGCGTTTGAGGAGCATTAACAACGCCCCTCAAAGCCTGCTTTCAAAGCCAGTGTGAACTAGGCCTTAGAATCGCTTTAAAGGTTGGCTTTCACAAACCGCATTATCTAGTTTTATTCTTTCTTCAGTGTTAGGTTTACTTTTTGTATGCAATGTGGAAACATCAGCAATTATAAAAAAAACTGTATTTATCGTTTATATTGACTTGAATCTTTCTATTTTTCTGTACAGAATGATAATCCGGAAAACAAAGTTTCCTTTCTCAGCAGGGTGACCTATTCCTGGTATAGCAGGTATGGATAATCTTCATCATGAAAATAATACCTTGGCCTACATTGATCAACATTTTTGGAACAATGAGTATTCATCATTCACAGTGCAGTACCTCATGCTAGTAGTACAGCAAAAAAAAAAACCCCAAAAAGTTACGTTATTAAAGAAAGGTACAAGGTGCTCAGATGTAAAAGATCACTGATAGTGGCAGTATGCAGTTGCTCAGCAAGTTCCTGCAATGTGTCTGCCTGTTGGGGGCACCATGGTGACATCTGGCAGTTTTCTTCTCTAGGATTACTAAAATGGGATTTGATGTCAGGTCTGGTTCACACCTATGCCTTTTTCCAGTGCATTTTCAGTTTTGCAGAAATGCACTACAGTCCATTTAACATGGTTTCCTATGGGTCACGTTCACATATCTGCGATTTATACCGTGCCTTTTTGGAAAAGGGTCAGGGAATTTTTTTTTTCCGCAGCAGGTTGCGTTATTAGTTCCATAGACTTCAATGGATATGCAGCGTAAATGCATCAAAAACACAGTGCTTGTTTGTTTGATGTGTTTATGCTGTGTTTTTTCTGGTTTCTCCCACAAAGACAACAGAAACCTACCAAAACACAAAACGCATAAAAACACGCACTTAAGACACATCAAAAAAAATCTAGACAAAAAATCTTTACTTAAGATAAATAAAATCTACAATAACCCTCCTCCTCATTTAGCCTCGGGTCCCAACTAATACCTTGTATGTTCTGAATGACATCTGTTCTCTTATTGTGTGAGCTCTTAACACTAATTCCTAATGCCATACAACTAACATCTAATGTTAATTTAATGATTTACACGAACAATCCTATTGTTCCTGCATCTGTGGTCATGTAACATTGAACAAAAACAAAACTTCTAAACAGAAACAGATATTTGCTTTTGGGCTTAACAAGCCACTACATTACAGTAAACATCATCTTTTTGCAAAAAGTTGGGTCTGTGCCATTTATATGTAGCTGCAATGGGAGAAATTACAGAATTTTAAAAAATTATAATTTTCCCTGTTTTTTATTGCATGCATGAAAAATCATACTGAACTTAAAGTGAATCAGTAGTGGATTTTTTTGTAGTCTGCAACGTGTAAGTTGACATTTTATATTTCCTTTTATGAATGTGTATGACATGATATTTTACAAGTCAATACTGCCAATGTGTTTGCAATAGAAAAGTAGAAAGCCAGCAATACATTTAGGCCCTTAGACAGACTGTTAATCCACCAGATAAAATATTGTCCCACTTTGAGACATATGAAGGGATTTACTAAAACTGGTGAACTCAGACTCGGAATGTTCAGTAATAATTTTTTTTGCATCTTTTTTAATCCTGAAACATTGCAAATGCTTATTTACCACTTGCAGTCAGCAGGTGGCATGCAAGACTCAGTGAGCAGCAGTTGTGGTAGACAGAGGACTCCATGGGGGGAGGGGATTTACTAAAACTGGAAAACACAAAAGCTGGTTCAGTTGTGTAGAGTAACCAATCAGCTTCTAGGTTTAAATTGACAAAGTTTAATTGAACAAGTTGAAGTTAGTTTAATTGAACAAGTTGAAGTTAGAAGCTGATTGGTTACTCTGCACAGCTGATCCAGATTCTGTGTGTTCGGGTTTTAGTAAATCCCCTCACCCCCATCGAGTCCTCTGTCTACCTCAACTTCTGCTCACTAAGTCATGTATGCCACCTGCTGACTTCAAGTGGTAAATATGCATTTGCAAAGTTTCAGGATTGAAAAAAGATGCAAAAAAAAAAATTATTACTGAACATTCTGAGTCTGTGTTCACCAGTTTTAGTAAATCCCTTCATATGTCTGAAAGGGGGGACAGTATTTTATTTGATGGATTAACACAGTCTGTCTAAGGGCCTAAATGCATTGCTGGGCTTTCTAACTAGAAAGCCCAGAATATTTTGCGAACACATTGGCAGTATTGACTTGTAAAATATCACATCATACACATTCATCATAAAAAGGAAATCTAAAATGTCAGCTTATACATTGTAGACTTAAAAAGAAATATGAAAACTATTAGATTTCTCTTTATTTGTCCTGCTAACTGACAAAATGACCCTTTCATTCAAATATAATAGCTGATGACACCCAAATGTATCTCTCAACCTCTCAGCTCACTCCTTCAGTTTCCTCATGTGTCACTAATTTATTACAGACTTATCAGTCTGGATGTCACACCACTTTCACAAACCCAGTCTATCCAAAACTGAGCCCATCATTTTTCCTCCCGCATGTGCCTCTTCCTCTGATTCCTCTGTCAAGATCAATGGCACAACCGTTTGCCCGTCCCTGCATGCCAGGGTGCTAGGGGTAACCCTGGATTCTGAACTATCCTTTCGGCCCCACATCCAATCACTGTCCAAATCATGCCGCCTCAATCTCCAACACATCTCCAAAATACACCCCGTTCTAACCAATGACACCCCAAAGCTCCTAGCTTACTCTCTGGTCATCTCTCGACTACTGCAGCTCTCTCCTCATTGGCTTACCTTTACTTAGGCTATTCCCCCTTCAGTCCATCATAAATACTGCTGTCAGGCTCATCCACTTTACCAAATGTTCAGGGTCTGCTACTCCTCTCTGCCAATTCCTCCATTTGTTACCGCTCACCCTATGAATTAAGTTCAAAATACTAACAACAACTTACAAAACTATTCACAACCCCAGCTACATCATTAGCCTAGTCTCTCAATCCCAACCAAATCATTCTCCTTGTTCCTCCCAAGACCTCCTGCTCTCTAGCTCCCTCGTCACCTCCTGGCAGGAAGTGCCATGCTTGCCTCCTAAACCTTTTCTGAGCCTCCGCTATCCTGCGGAACTCCCTACCCCAATCTGTTCGACTATCTCCTACTCTGTTTGCTCTTTAATGATCCCTGAAAACCCTTCTCTTCAGAGAAGCCTATCCTGTCCCCACCTAACAACTGGAGTTTTATTTCCTCTATCAGCTCATCCCCCACAGCTAATACCTTTTGTATCACTTGACCCTCCCTCCTAGATTGTAAGTTCCAATGAGCAGGGCCCTCTGGTTCCTTATGTATTAAATTGTATTGTAACTGTACTGTGTGCTCTCTTGTTATGAAGTGCTGTGCAAACAGTTGGCGCTATATAATTCCCGTATGATAATAATAATTAATTGATTTATGTTACCGCACTATGCACATCAGCATTGCTGTTTTATCAGCATTATTACATGTGTTTTTGGTTCCCTAAATAATATCAATTTATTAATTCTTTTTTTTCTATTTTAATAGGATCATAGCACTTGGTTATAGGAAACCACTGGAAAGAGAAGATCTGATTGAGCTAAATGAAGCTGATTCGTCATATGTGATTTATCCCTCGTTTGAAAAAAAACTGGAGGAAAGAAATAGTGTCACAAGACAAAAAGGTAAAAAAAAAAAGGAATTCTGCATATCTGAAGTTAACATATACTCACCATATACATGACATGATGACTACACTGCCACTCTGTCCTTCTAGTACAGTTAGTTACTGGTTATTGAAGAACAAGTCCACTGTCCTCCTAGTTCATCAGGTTGGGAACTAGTTGTGAAATGTGTATAGCTGATACTGATAATAAAGTTATATATTGGTAGAGTGCAAACCTTTTGTTTTGTAAATCACAGTAGGCACAGTTTATATTGCACTCCATTCTAAATTCTGCACGATAGTACAGTTTTTCAGGTTGCAGAGGAAGTGAAGAGTCATTCATTTGAATAGTGGTGTTTATTAAAAATACACTATATTGCCAAAACTATTGGGACGCCTGCCTTTACACGCACATGAACTTTAATGGCATCCCAGTCTTAGTCCGTAAGGTTCAATATTGAGTTGGCCCACCCTTTGCAGCTATAACAGCTTCAACTCTTCTGAGAAGAGCTGTTCACAAGGTTTAAAAGTGTGTCTGTGGGAATGTTTGACCATTCTTTCAGAAGCGCATTTGTGAGGTCAGACACTGATGTCGGATGAGAAGGCCTGGCTCACAGTCTCCGCTCTTATTAATTTCCTATATTCATTTGGTCCAGGTTGATTTGAAAAATGTTGCAGTTTTTCCAGGAAGATTAATATATATTATATATATTTTTGAATCGGAAAGATTCGAATCAGAAGGATTTGAGTCCTGAGTATCAAAGTTCTGACCTCAACCCAATAGAACACCTTTGGGATGAATTAGAGCTGAGACCGCAGGAAAGGCCTTCTTGTCTGATATCAGTGCCTGACCCCATCAATGCACTTCTGGAAGAATGGTCAAACATTCCCATAGACACACTCCTAAACCTTGTCGACAGCCTTCCCAGAAGAATTGAAGCTGTTATAGCTGCAAATGGTGGTCCAACTCAATAGTGAACCCTACGGACTAAGACTGGGATGGCATTAAAGTTCATGTGTGTGTAAAGGCATCACAATACTTTTGGCAATATAGTGTATGTGTCTAAAGTGTTTAACTGCATTATAGTGATATCATGTGATTGGGGGTGGGGATTTCACATTGAGCAGGTTTTTTAATATTTGTTTTTACATAAAATAACTGAACAAATTGCACAATAATTCAGGAATCCTATGTCTTTAATAGGCGCATGCTTCCCTTAGATGGCTGTAACCAGGGTTGTCTTAATACATGGCCAACCCTGGGCACTGCCCAGGAGTCCCAGGTGCCTGGGGGCCCCATGATAATCTTGCATTACATCATACTGGTTTTGCTGGGACAGTTGTGCTTTTTATTAAGCTGCCTAGCCAAGGCAGCTTCCGAAAACCTGTACTGTATCCTCCTGATCCCAGTTATTGTACCGTTCTGCTTCCCTCCATACTTTGCTCTTCGTGTTGATTCGTCTTTGATATATGGCATTTTTTCTTTATTATTTAAATCGATTTTACTGAAAGTACAATTAAAAATATGTTTAATTCTATTAGCTATTTATATTTTAATTCTTGAGAGTAGGTGTGCAAATGGGGCAAGCTATTAGGGGCCCCAGTACATGTTAGGGGCCCATGATGCTATCAATACAGCCCTGGCTGTAACACCTCCTTCCATAACACTGCTACACAACACATGTACATTTATTATAGCTTGTTGGTTTGGGGACAGGTTCACAGTTCACAAAGGCACTGAGGTCTATACGCCTTGAACTGGGTGTTTGTGTTCCTAGTGGGCAGGTGCTAAATACAGGTGTAATAAGTAACATGTTGCCAAAGGTGAACTTAGCCTTAGTTGAGCTTTAAAAAGGGTAAATGTACTAAAAGTACACTGGTCCTTTAAAGGATAAGTTCACCTTTAATGAGAAAAGTAATAAATGCACCTCTTTTTTGCAGGTAAAAAATTGTGCATATATTATTTTTTTTACAGTGGAGCCTGTAAAGCATTGCACCTTTTGATCAGCAGATTGAGGATACAATTCCAGGCTCCTTCAGATTCTCAGTACAGGCAAGGAAGAATCAATGAACTACAAGAGCATTCACCAGCACCCTTGTAGTTCATTGAGAACTACAAGCCATCGGCCACAATATATGACAGTACTTGTAGTTCATTCATTCTGAAATTTGTGACTGAATGACGCAGCTTTGTGGATGTAGCCCTGAACAGCCGTGGTGCAGGGTCGGACTGACAACTCATGGGGCCCCCGGGCAATAGGGGATCATGGGGCCCCTCGTGTCCTTGCCAAAAACTCAAACCACACCCAAAAAAGCCTATGACAGGTACCAGGGGCATCTCATGGGGCCCCCTTCTGACCCCGGGCCCTCGGGCAGTGCTCAAGTTCCCAAATGGTCAGTCCGCCGCTGCCGTGGTGTTTTTAAATAGTGACTGCCGGTGCGGGGAGAAGATCCCCTGCCTGCTGTCACAGGGAGAGGGATCTGGGGAGAGTAGCTGGAACATGTTACATATTCCACCCTAAATACAGATGGACCATGTAACATGTTAGAAAGGTGATCTTAGTCTTTAACTATGGTTGAATTATCAGTAGACTAAAAGTGGTTGATTCACTAAAGGCAAATAGACTGTGCACTTTGCAAGTCAAGTTGCTCCAGAGCTTAGTAAATGAGGGGAAGCTCATCATCTAATCATGTGCAAACAAAAATGCATTTCTTTTTTTAACTTTCCTTGCATGTTATTGGGTATTCTTTACAACGGGAATCTTCACCACATTTACTAAGCTCTGGAGCAACTGTACTTGCAGAGTGCAACGTCTATTTGCCTTTAGTAAATCAACCCCATTGCATCTTGAAAGTAAATAGGGGTGGAGTTAAATACTTATTTAACTCAGAGCTTCATTTCTATTATTGTAAATGACATAATAATTTGTAAAACTAACATATTCCATTCATACGATTTAGTAAAGAACTGTGTTTACAGGCAGTTCTTTACTCTTTTCTTTTTTTTTACTTCTTGCCTTTTATTTGATATATTTATTTTAATTATCACATCAAAATAAAATGCATGGGCAACAAAATATTGCCAAATAAGGAAAACTATTGTGTATGTTTATGAAGTATAAAATTTGCTAAAATATATATATATATGTGTATATATATATATATGTATATATATATATATATATATACATATATATATATATATATATATATATATTATATATATGTGTGTGTGTGTGTGTGTATATATATATATATATATATATATATATATATATATGTGTGTGTGTGTGTGTGTGTGTGTGTATATATATATATATATATATATATATATATATATATATATATATATATATATATATATATATATAAAAATATTTATTTATTTTTTAAGATGTTTCTTCTCACTTTATTCAGATATTTAATTTTGTTGTAACTGAATTAGTGTCTACATTGTCCCATTTTTCTAGGGTTCCAGTTCCAGAAAGCCATCATTGCTGAGAGCATTATGGAGCACCTTCAAATATTCTCTGATCTATGTGGCTCTGATGAAAGTTGTGGCAGATCTCTTGGCCTTCACCAGCCCCCAGATTTTAAAGTGAGTGAGATTTTCATAAAACCAAAATGATTTTTTTTTTCAATTAACCATTAATTCAATTCTTGGCGTGTCTTGAAGTGCAGCTAAAATTACAGAAATGTTAAACTTGTTATAGTAGATGCACTGGGTGGCTAAATACAGCTATGCATCTCTACAGGCACACTGTTCACTGCAAAAAAAAAAAAAAGTATTCTAAAAGATAAGGTCACCTTTCAAAACATGTTACATGTTACACTCATATTTAGGGTGTAACATGTAATGTGAATACACCGACCCCCGCTCCCCTGCTTTAACAGCTAGTGGGGGATCGTCTCCCTCCCTCTCTAGCTGTCAAATAAAAAAAAAAAAAGTGGCTGTGTGGGGCTCCGCCCACCTGGCTGTGTCACTCATTCACAGTCCTCTGTGAATGAGAAACTACAAGTCCCAACAGCCTTATCATCTGGCGGCTTCTAGTTCTCAATGAATTACGATGGCGCTGTGCAGCACTGTGGTAGTTCATTGATTCTTCCTGTCAGTATATCTGCTTGCTTGTATGGGCATCTGCAGATCTGCAGGAGACCTGCATGGCAACAGCGATCTGCTGATCTCTGGTGCAATGGTTTCCAGGCTCCTGCGACCAAAAATAATAAATGCACATGAAATAAAAATGTACTTTTATTGTTTTCAGTTAAAAGGTGAACTTATCCTTTAAAGTATATGGAAACTCAGTCAGTAATTTCTAGTATAATCTTTAACATGTCATTCTAAAGGTCATTTTCAAGGAGCTTATGTACACGGATATTTGCAAGTGCAAATGTTCTCTAGTGGAAAATTATGGCATTTTCCCACACCCAGGAAACCACAAGTGGCATGTAGAGCCAGCCACAGAAGTACATGGCAGTATGCACTTGTACTAGTGTAAACACTCTACTCTTTTGCATCAGCATTTACCCATGCAGGTCACAAGAAAGACAAGCTTATGCCTCGTCAAAACAAATTAAAATCTTCACTACTTGTTCACCTCTTAAGACCCATGAGTGCCACTCTCTTTTGGACTAGCTGTGCATGTGGGTATGATGTATTTCCTGAACAAGGAAGTTTTGCATGTGCATGAGCATGAGTAGAGTGTTTAACTCTACAGTTTTTACTTTAAGCCGAATTCCTGGCCTGTGTTGGGCTATGCCTGTACTGCACAGGTTAACTGCTTGTTTTGATCAATGGGAGAGAACAGCGGAGATATACTCACCTCACCCGCCAATCCTCCCCACACCTCCCCCTGTCCCTTCAGCTCCTTCCCCGAACCCCCCCCCCCCCCCGTGGTCCATCAGTCTGGCAAAATGGACTGTTCCTGACGTCAGCATGTTCCATAGACAGGAACAGTCCACCGCTAAAATGTGGGTGAGCGCGGTTTTCTGGAGGATCAGAGGGGCAGGTAAATTATGAGCTTTTGCTCACCCCTAGAAAAAACGAGCAGCTGAATCATGCAGTGGGGGCACGGCCCCACTGCATAGTAAAAAAAAAAATGTTGAGTGGAGTTCTCCAATTAGCTGCGAGTTATAGCCCCAGGCAGATTGCCAGCATTCAGGGCTGATCACTCTCATATAATTGCTGCATGAGAGATTCCATGCAAGTGGGTGCAATTACATGCAGGAGCCAGCAGCCTCCCATTGCATTCAATGGGGCTGCCTCTCACAGCTAATCGCAGGAACCCCTGCTGGGGTTCTCACATACAATGCCAGGCAAGGTGCCTTTGCAGGTGTGAATGCCCCTTATAAATAAGCCCCCGATATAAATAATTTATACACACATCATCATTGTAGAAGTAAGTAGCCCATCTTTATTCTATAAATATTTTAGGATAATTGTAGAAGTCTTTTGCTGAAATGTTTTTTTTCTAGCATATCTGTGCTTAAGGGAATAGTCTCTAGACAGCTTTCTTGAATTGGTCAATAAGCATAATAAGCCATACAGTCAGCATATCTTCCCCCAGGGTGACTTGCAGTTCACATACAGTATAGGATTTTAATGAATATAATGAGTCAGCATTTCTTCCCCTCTGGGCCACAAGTTACAGTTCAAATAATAGAATTTTAATGAATAAAAAATGGAGCAATAAAAAAATACAAAAACCGGGACCCAACAGTCATTAAATGAGCTATCTGCTCAAAGCCAAAATTAGATTTTCACCTCAATTTTGTAATAGACAGGAATGCCAAGTAGCAAAACTTTAGATTTACAGAAAATCCGTCCTTGTTAAGGACTTTGCATGAAGACTACATATTTCAGACAAAAGGAACTGATTTAAAAATATGCTGTTTTGTGTTCTACATTATTCATTAATAGATTTTTATTTTTAAAATTAACTAGTGTAAGTAACTGAATTTTTCCCAATATTAGACCTTTGCAATCCCTTGCACAGCAGCACCCAGACTGGGAGAGGAATACAGAAGCACTAAGGCCTGGCCATACATTATACAATTTTCTTGTACAATTTTCCTTTAGATTTACCAAAACCATTTAAACACTTTAAATTTTTATGCACTCAGGCAGGCCTTTGCACTACATAGTTGAAGGTAAATCTAAAGGAAATTGAATAGGAAAATTGTATACTGTATGGCCATCCTAAACGCTACTAAGGCTCAGGAGCCCCACTCTTCCATGCATTGCCCAGGAGCCCCACTCTTTCTTGCATTGCCCAGGAGCCCCACTCTTCCTTGCATTGCCCAGGAGCCCCACTATTCCTTGCATTGCCCAGGAGCCCCACTCTTTCTTGCATTGCCCAGGAGCCCCACTCTTCCTTGCATTGCCCAGGAGCCCCACTATTCCTTGCATTGCCCAGGAGCCCCACTCTTCCTTGCATTGCCCAGGAGCCCCACTCTTCCTTGCATTGCCCAGGAGCCCCACTCTTCCTTGCATTGCCCAGGAGCCCCACTCTTCCTTGCATTGCCCAGGAGCCCCACTCTTCCTTGCATTGCCCAGGAGCCCCACTCTTCCTTGCATTGCCCAGGAGCCCCACTCTTCCTTGCATTGCCCAGGAGCCCCACTCTTCCTTGCATTGTCCAAGAGCCGCACTCTTTCTTGCATTGTCCAAGAGCCGCACTCTTTCAAGAGCCGCACTCTTTCTTGCATTGTCCAAGAGCCGCACTCTTTCTTGCATTGTCCAAGAGCCGCACTCTTTCTTGCATTGTCCAAGAGCCGCACTCTTTCTTGCATTGCCCAAGAGCCGCACTCTTTCTTGCATTGCCCAAGAGCCGCACTCTTTCTTGCATTGCCCAAGAGCCGCACTCTTTCTTGCATTGCCCAAGAGCCGCACTCTTTCTTGCATTGCCCAAGAGCCGCACTCTTTCTTGCATTGCCCAAGAGCCGCACTCTTTCTTGCATTGTCCAAGAGCCGCACTCTTCTTGCATTGCCCAAGAGCCGCACTCTTTCTTGCATTGCCCAAGAGCCGCACTCTTTCTTGCATTGCCCAAGAGCCGCACTCTTTCTTGCATTGCCCAAGAGCCGCACTCTTTCTTGCATTGCCCAAGAGCCGCACTCATTGTCTTGCATTGTCCAAGAGCCGCACTCTTTCTTGCATTCTTGCATTGTCCAAGAGCCGCACTCTTTCTTGCATTGTCCAAGAGCCGCACTCTTTCTTGCATTGTCCAAGAGCCGCACTCTTTCTTGCATTGTCCAAGAGCCCCACTCTTTCTTGCATTGTCCAAGAGCCCCACTCATTGTCCAAGAGCCCCACTCTCTTTCTTGCATTGTCCAAGAGCCCCACTCTTTCTTGCATTGTCCAAGAGCCCCACTCTTTCTTGCATTGTCCAAGAGCCCCACTCTTTCTTGCATTGTCCAAGAGCCCCACTCTTTCTTGCATTGTCCAAGATTGTCCAAGAGCCCCACTCTTTCTTGCATTGTCCAAGAGCCCCACTCTTTCTTGCATTGTCCAAGAGCCCCACTCTTTCTTGCATTGTCCAAGAGCCCCACTCTTTCTTGCATTGTCCAAGAGCCCCACTCTTTCTTGCATTGTCCAAGAGCCCCACTCTTTCTTGCATTGTCCAAGAGCCCCACTCTTTCTTTCATTGTCCAAGAGCCCCACTCTTTCTTTCATTGTCCAAGAGTGCCCCACTCTTTCATTTTCATTGTCCAGGAGCTCTCTTCTTTATTGCATTGCCCAGGTGCCCCACTCTTCCTTGCATTGCCCAGGAGTCCCACTCTCCTTTGCGTTTTCCAGGCTCCCCCATCACCTTCTGTCTGGAGTCCTCAAGCTGCTAAATATTTATTGTCTTTTCTTTTACAGGCAGATGATAACTTTCTTCGAGCAGCAGTCAGGAGATCCCAGGACTGGCTATATGTTTGCCGTTTCTCTTCTCATTGTTACAATTCTGCAAACTTTAATCTTACAACTTTATCAACGTTACAACATGCTGACTGCGGTGAAATGTAAAACGTGTCTTATTGGAATGATCTATAAAAAGGTAAAAATGCAAACACATGGAAATGCCTACAGATACAGGAGTACTGAACAAAACGTTTGTGGAAAATTTTCCATTCCTCATTTTCACCCTCCTGTATAAACCTACAGACCCTTCAATACAAGAGGTATCTTCAGCCATAGACAAGCAGATGAATTGGCTTATGATACATCCAGTGGGCTTGTTAAAATGCTCCCTGGCAACCAGTGGGAGCTTCAACTTCCACAAAGAGTTCTTGCACCTAAAGGCCTCATGCACACTGACATACAGCAACACCTGTATGCTGGTGTGTAGGCAGCCAGGCAGGCAGCAGTGCTTTGGTAAATGCTGATTTCTTCTGTATTGGCTTTTAGGCACATATGCACATACAGAAAAACTGTACGTGCATGTAAAAGTAAACACCATTTCAGGAGCAACTGGCGGTTACCCAAGTGAGCCTGCGCACAGCTATTCATTTGCATTCTTGTCATAGGTGCAGTATTTCCAGTATGGCCGATAGCAGGTACTAAATACTCTTCATCCAATATTCTCTCTGCTGATTGCAAACACATAAACTTGGTCAGTGAACAATTGGAAAAGGTTTGCTTGAAGTATATCCAAAGGCAAAACCTTTTTATTTTAGATGAATGAGGAGTGACAACCTCTGTCAGGTTTTTTTTTGTTGTTGTTGTGTCTGTGTACCCAAAAAGTAGATTCATCCTCTTATTTTTCTTTTTTCTTGTTTAATCTTTTATGGTAATTTTTTAAGAACATGTAACATAGAATTAAACTTTAAGTATACATATATATATATATATATATATATATATATATATATATATATATATATATAAGAGGACAAACTGAGTACGTACAAAGTAGTCCAAACACTTGAGGTATAAGACTATAGGGTAACAAAGTTGGTAATAGTCAAAAGACATACAATCCAGGGTGACCTATGTCAAAAGGGTTAACCATATCTGGATCAACAGGATAGGCTGAGTTGATGGTAGATATTAAAGCGGTAGTAAACACTGCATGCTCACTTACCTACAAGTAGGCTTATAATAACACTTATCTGTAGGTACAAGGAATGTCTCCTAAATGTGCACCGTTTAGGAGTTATTCACTACTGCAGCCAGCGATGTCACAGATGCATGGACGCTGCACTCTGAAGGAAGGCTGTTCAGAGCTCTGTGCCGCGGCCCTGGTTCCCGTGCACATGAGCGGGAATTACATCATTGCGGTTCAGCCACTGAAACAGCCAGAGCCCGCAAACCCGGAAGGAAGACCTGGTAAGGATGGCAGTCCTGTCAGCAGTGATGGCACACCACTGGACAGCTTTGTTTAAGGTAAGTCTCTCATATTATACTAGTATGTGATGCATACTAGCACATTATGACATTACCTTGTAAAGGGAAGGTTTTTTCTTCTTATTATTATTATTATCTTTTTATTTTTTTTTTACTAAAAGTTTACTTTTGCTTTAAGAAGTGAACAGCTGGATTACCATTGATTTAATTTTAGAGGGTGTTGAAGAGGTACCAGTTGTCAGGTTCAGACTACTATGGGTAGTAGTGGGGGATTATGTGTGGGGAGGAGAGGAAGGGAAGAATGGGGTTGGGGGGATAGATTCATCCTCTTTATTTGTTTGGGTGACCATTGCCACTAAGAATGAAAGTTTCACATCATGTGTTGTCACTACAACAGCAATAGAGGAGAAATTTTCCAGTGGGGACATGTGTTCTAATGAAAACTGTTTATTTCCTTTTGTTCCCTGTTCCATCTACAGGACAGGATGTTAAGGGAAATCTCTTGAATGGGACACTGATGGTAAAATAGACAATGGCTTTAAATTTACCCAAGATTTAAGAAAAAGGTCGAGGCTTTATATCATAAATTTTGGGTGGGGGTGTAATGAGAAAGACAGAGAAAAGACCAGGACCAGAGTGTTCAGTATCATGTGGAGGGGTCTGAAGGTGCCTCCTTCCTCCAAGGGTTTTATACCTGGAACCAGTTTCAACCGATGTACAGGTGGGTTCATTTCAAGCTGAACTGCTGTAGTCCATGCTGTATACAGTGAGAGTAGTGATCTTCTGGGTCGCTTGCTCAGCACCTCCGTAAGTCATATAATGTTTTTTGTTTTTTTTTTTTTTTTCAATTAATGCAAGGAGTTCTCTGATTTGATGAATTGGAGCTTGTGATAGCACTCTTTCTCTTTTCCACTTCAATCAGAAAAGTCTTTGTATTGTATTTGACCACAAGGCCTAGAGGGCTCTGAACCTTTGTAATTCACAGAACGCCGTGTGTGTGTGTTTTAAGGTAAAAAAATACAAAGGCTTCTCTGGTCGAGGTAGAGATGAGAAAGGGTAACATCATGAGCTCCACTTCATCTGAAAACTGCTTATATTAATTTAAAAAAACTTTCTAAGAATGGTGGAGGTGCCTAGCAATCATGGTCAGTGTGCAAAGTGAACCCACTCACATAGAACCCAAAAGACCATAACTATCACTGTATGTAGCTCAGACTACAGTGACTTGCAGCCCTCCAGATATCTGATATGGACTTACACTCACCGGCCACTTTATTTGGTACACCTTGCTAGTTCCAAGAAAACATCCCCCCCACACCATTACACTACCACCAGCCTGAACCATTGATACAAGGCAGGATGGATCCATGCTTTCATGTTTATGCCAAATTCTGACCCTACCATCTGAATAATGCAACAACCAGTCTGCCCATTGTCCTCTGACATCAACAAGGCATTTTCGTCCACACAATTAGATATTTTCTTTTTTACCGACCATTCTCTGTAAACCCTAGAGATGGTTGTGCGTGAAAATCCCAGTAGATCAGCAGTTTTTGAAATACTCAGACCAGCTTGTCTGGCACTAACAACCATGCCATGTTCAAAGTCACTTAAATCCCCTTTCTTCCCCATTCTAATGCTTGGTTTGAACTTCAGTAAGTTGTCTTCACCACGTCTACATGCCTAAATACATTGAATTGTTGCCATGTGATTGGCTGATTAGCTATTTGTGTTAGCAAGCAATTGAACAGGTGTACCTAATAAAGTGGCCAGTGAGTGTATATCGAGCCAAGCTAGAGCAATGTAAGTATGCCAAAAATAATCATTCTTGGAGTTCAGCTTTATTAAAAACAGTTCAAAATATAGCAACCTGTAACAACTAAATTGAATTGACTGCATTCAGATTAGTAAAAAAATAATAAAAATGATTCCTGATCTGGTCTTCAATGATATATTGTACTTGGTGCATGGCCATTTCTTTTTGCCCAGCTGTATTGAGTAATCCTGTAAATACCGACCATCTCATTAAAAAGGTTCAGTGAGTTCAATGAAGAGTGACACACCCATGTAGGTTACCATGTGAGTCATTGTGAAGTCCTGACTTCTGCAGCTAATAGTTAACACGGAAATCAATCATTAATGTTGTGTATTTGTTTTTCATCGCAATACAGTCACATAACATGCTGGGGAAGACCAATAATTTGCCAGACTAAGGGTTGAGCAAACTTGGGATTGCCAACTGCTGAACAACTAAAAGTGCTACTATGCTTTTCTTATTACATTCGGACTGGAACTAAAAGTTACCCTGACCTCTGATAAATGTGTACCAACAAACCTGAAATATAGATAATAAGCTAAATATGTATTTTCTTGCCTATTTGTATATCCATGTATTCTAGATTCATCTGCTCACTTTAAAATAAAGTGCTACTAAAGGCAAAATCAAAAATGATTAATGATGCAGTCTGTCACTAACATTAACAAATCAGTCTTTGTTTTTCTTAGTTCCCCTGTAGCTTTTTTTTTTTACCTGGTGATCCTGCTGTTATTTTTCACTTTCTGTCCAGTAAACGTGGCAGTTAGAGCGTTGAGACAAACCATATAACACTGATAGGGATGCATACAATGATTTTATTCATTTATTTAAAACCTTCATCCCAAATAAACGTGTTGCTGTAACTGCCTAAACTGTGTTAGCCAGAGCTTGGCTTTAATTTGTTAGTCGCTTATATAAAGTCCATCTAAACCTACCAGACCATCTAATCCTACCCTGTCCATCAGGGATGAGTACAGGACAGGAGTACACAACCAGCCTGAGCTTTACTGCCAGGAAGCTGTCAAAGCCAATAGCCAGTCATAGGCAGTGGAGACATTCCCTGCAGCTGTGGGGAGGGAATGCCTCAACCACCAATGACTGGCTTTCAGCTCTTACAGCTTCATGGCTGGGTAGCACTGGCAGGTTTGAACACCCATCTGAACATGCATGAGCTCATCCCTACTCTCCAGACAATACCGCTGTTCAACAGTGTCTCCATTGCTCCCCCATACATATAGAGGAGCCACCCCAAAGCAAGCTATAGACTATATAATTTTTCTTGATCGCTCAATTCCCCCATTAACACAGTCAGTGTTGATGGGGGAATCCCTATTGTGTTCTGTCAGTGGAGAGCCTTCCCTGCTGGGATAACACAATGATCATTGCTGGCTACTATAGCCACCAGCAGTGATCGTGTACAAAAAATCCGACAGGCTGGTTGTACTAAAGTCGATTGATGGATCAACTTCAGTACAACCAGCCTACCCATATATGCATTGAATCTTGGCTGGTTCGTGCGGAACTGGTCGTGATTCGATCCATCTATGTCCAGACAAAGAGGAAGTGTGTTACTGCCCAGATCACAAGGTGAAAGTAAAGGAAAATCTCTGAAAAAAAACAAACCAAATGCAGCCACCACATTGGTAAGCTGCAGTATGTTAAATTTTTGTTTTTGCGTTTACATATACTTTGAACTTGTCACAGACCTAGATTGTATGTCCATTGTATTCAGATTAATTTGCTCACTTTATATAAACTTGTAACAGACCGAGGCAATAGGTTAACTTTTGCAAAATCTATATGACAAAACAATCATTGGTCCAGGTATATCAGAATCTGGAAATGTATTGAAAACTGGGTTTGGCCCTGCAATTCAAGACATCTTATTGGTCCTTCAAGATGACGGAAGTCTTACTGACCAAATTGGAGGTTTGGAAAAAGTTGAATTTTGCATATACCCAACTTCTTATGGTTGGGTCTTGGTATCATTTTCACTAAAGATAACATCTGCCCATTTTCATCATATGCTCAGATAAATTCAGATTGCTCAGATTTATGATTGGTTCACTGTAAAGCAACACCATAATCCCAAAAAGTGGCTGCTTTCTACATCATGTTTTCTCTTCCAGCCCAATCCACCACAGGATCAGTATGGCCATCATGATTTTGGTGGTGGTTTTTTTTGCTTAGCAGTATTGTTGGCCATATACATGGTTATTTTGCTTCCACTCTCAACAATGGGAATCATTGATGCAGTAACACTGTACTGATGATAGCTAAATGGCCTGAAACAACTGTAAGCACTTTGTAATAAATGACTAATATTGGGTTATATTTTCACTATACACCTACCGTTCTGGATGTCCAACTGTCCACAGGGGCATAAAGCAATGATTTGCATGGCCCTGCTCACTGTCCCAAAAGATGGGAGAACCTTCTTATTTTTGGGATGTATCATGGAACAAAATTACACAAAATTTTGATCACCATAACCTGTATGGTTACACTAGGACAAGGGGGCACCCTTTACGTCTGGAGGAAAAGAAATTAATCTCCAAATACTGAAAGGTTTCTTCACAGTGAGAGCTGTGAAAATGTGCAATAGACTCCCTCAAGAGTTGGTTCTGGCCAGTTCAGTGGATTGCTTCAAAAAAGGCCTGGATTATTTCCCAGATACATAGAATATAACTGGATACTAACATTTATAGGTAAAGTTGATCCAGGGAATATCTGATTGCCTCTTGGGGGATCAGGAAGGATTTTTTTTTTCCCTGCAGGAGCAAATTGGATCATGCTTTGTTGGGATTTTTTTGCCTTCCTCTGGATCATCTGTGCATATAGGATTATATCTTTTTTTTTTTTTAATGGTTGAACTGGATGGACTTTTGTCTTTTTTTCAGCCAGATTAACTATGTAACTATAACAACTGTATTATGACACCCATGCTATTGAATTTAGCATTGAAGTTCCTGTAAACTTTTCTTACCAATCACTAGACAATGCCATGGGGGATTCAGTTTGTTTGCTGGATAGCACCATCTAGTGAAAAAAAAAATACATTCACTTATAAAAAAAATTTTCATATCTGCTCCGGAGAAAATAATGTGTCTTTCTTTTGTTTGTACACTCCTTTTCATTTTTTTCATTGTAAAACCTTCTGCATGCAGGACATTTTTAAAAACGCTCCTCCTCTTGGTAGCAAAAGCGCCCAACAAAGACACCTGTTAAAGTATCTAACGCTTTTACAAACGTTTAGCTGCATTTACAGGCTGCAAGCATTTGGGAATTAATTTCATTTTAATGGCCAGAATAATAATTTAATCTAGCCATTGCAATGAATTAACGCTCAAGCGCTAAACGCATCAAGCGTTTTTTTTCTGCCAAAACACTGCTGCTCCTGGATGCACTGGCCCTGGGTTTTTTTTTTTCTTCTGGTAAATGCTACTGCTACTAAAAGCTTCTAAAAGTCTAATGTATGCATGGACACATAGGATAACATGGAGGGCCATTTGGAAGCCCTAAAAAAAAAAACGCTTGACACCCCTACAAGTGGCTGCAAAGACGCCCTGTGTGTATGAGGCCTAAAGATGAACTCAAGAAAAATGTAAATTATGGTGTTTTATTTAAATGACAAGCTATTTAATGTCTAAATACAAGGACTTAATATTTTTAGTCACTTTCCCTGCAAAGTGCAAAAAGCTAATATGCAGTGTAAGACCTGACACCCTGCCAGATTATGTGTATGCAAAGAAAAAGGGTGTATGTGTGATTCATAGTATAGCACAATGGAAACTCTTTTTTTAGTCATGGGAACAGATCTTTTCTTTTCCTGGTTAAGACTGGCCTAGATACAGTATGTAAATCTCTGCATAAACTGACGGCTCTATATAAGTACCTAGAATAAATAAATAAATATTCAGAGGAGAAGGAGCAGTGGTCAGACATAGGTCTTCCCTGTGTGATTTAGTGTTGGAGGCATGGGATCTCATGTAACAGAAATGTGTAGTCTTTTCAATTACACTTCTTAGACATACATGTAAGGAGATCAACTTGATTTAAATAATAGTTTCAAAGTGTGTTAGTCAGTCCACACCAAAACGTGGTGCAGGAAACCCACGTTCTGTCACGGTTCAAAACACACTGCACTTGCGATCTGCAGCAGGTGTCATTGTCTAGATTGTAAGCTCGAAAGAGCAGGGCCCTTGATCCCCTCATGTTTTGCATTGTATTGGTATTGTTCTGTCACATGTTCTGTCCCCCTTTGTAATGTACAGCGCTGAGCGAACTATTGGCGCTTTATAAATACTGTATAATAATAATAATAATTGTTAGCTTAACAACACCCCAAACGTTAAAACGGTGCGTTTTCCTGCACCGGATCACATGGTACAGTAGTATCATGTAATCTGTCTGCTGCACATTTTAGTAAGTAGTGCATGCACTACTTTTGGTGCAGTCCAGAGTGATTTCAACCCATTCAAATGAATGGTCTGAAATCGCACTGCATCCAAATTGCATATGAATTCATGGAGTGAACCGGCCCTTAAAGCGGTTGTAAAGTCTTGCGTTGAAAAAAAACAACTTTTCCCTGCAAGGTAATGTCATAATGTGCAAGTACTGTATGCATCACATACTAGCACATTATGAGAGACTTCCGGTACTGTAAAACAAAGCCCTCCAGCGGCACGCTGTCACCATTGACAGGGCTTCCATCTTCACCCGGTCTTCTGGGCTTGACTGTTTGAATGGCTGAGCCGCGGTGGCGTCACTCTCGCACATGCACATGATTGTCACAATCCCTGCACAACACTCTGAATGGATGGCACCTAGTAACATCGCTGGCTGCTACAACTGGGAGTATCTCCTAAACGGTGCACGTTTTAGGAGATATTCCTTTGTACCTACATGGAAGCTTTAATACAAGTTTACCTGTATGTACTTGTGATCAAGCAGTGTTGACTACGGCTTCAATCTACTTTTGGTAATTGTTTCTATGTATAGCTTGTGATTGAAGTGGGAGCAGACATATTTGCTCATTATACTACTGTATATACAATGCCTTTATGGTTTGCAGTGATACACAGTGGTAGTACTATACTGTAACTTCTCAAAATGCAACTTATGCATTGCCTAAATAAGGCTTCATTCAACAGTTCAACCAGGGAGCATTAAAACCAGGCAGTTGAGCTGCCGTTTTAATGCCGCTCGATTGCCTACCTGAACACTATCATACAGCCAGTCATGGCTGTATACATGCTGTGGCTGCAATGCTGGGCTTTGCATGCTCAACAAAAATGAAACCGCATGTTGGTTTGGTAGACGTGCATGTGGTTGGTATAAGTATGTTTCATCTTCAAAATATTTTATATACCAGTTTTTGTTGTCACATTTTAAACTCCTTTATTAAAATACATTTTGTAACTTTAGTCTTTTGTCTTTCCAGTCATTAAACTTGGCCAACTCTACTCGGAAGAAATTTACAACGGGTGAGTTGGTGAATTTGATGTCTTCAGATGCTCAGCAGCTCATGGACCTGACAGTGAACATTAATCTGCTGTGGTCGGCCCCATTCCAGATCCTCCTGGCCATCGTCTTCCTGTGGCAGGAGCTTGGGCCATCTGTACTGGCTGGTGTGGCTGTGCTCATCCTGGTCATACCTTTGAACGCTTACATTGCCGGGAAAGTGAAACAGCTGAAGGTACTGTGAAAATATATTTATTCAGAGTGTTGGTTTTAAAGAGGGTCAACATAGCATACATAATTTAGAGCTGAGCTCTGGGGTAAAAGAAAATGCCCTTGCAGTGGAACCCCCCCCCGCATTAAGGTAAAAGATGCCAGTGGCTGGTCCTCTTCATCTTGCTTTATACTTACCTGAGACCACTTTCAATCCAGCACTGCGCCCGTCTGCAGCGGCACTGGCCTCTCTCTCTTCCTTCTCTCTCTCTCTTCCTTCTCTCTCTCTCTCTTGCTCTTCCTTCTCTCTCTCTTCCTTCTCTCTCTCTCTCTTCCTTCTCTCTCTCTCTCTTCCTTCTCTCTCTCTCTCTTCCTTCGCTCTCGCTCTCTTCCTTCGCTCTCTCCCCTCTCTCTCTCTCTTCCTTCTCTCTCTCTCTTCTTCTTCTCTCTCTCTCTTCCTTCTCTCTCTCTTCCTTCTCTCTCTCTCTTCCTTCTCTCTCTCTCTCTCTCTTCCTTCTCTCTCTCTCTCTCTCTCTCTCTCTCTTCCTTCTCTCTCTCTCTTCTTCCTTCTCTCTCTCTCTCTTCCTCTTTCTCTCTCTCTCTTCCTCTCTCTCTCTCTTCTTCTTCCTCTCTCTCTTCCTTTTCTCTCTCTCTCTTCCTTCTTCCCTCTCTCTTCCTTCTCCCTCTCTCTTCCTTCTCCCTCTCTCTCTCCTTCTCTCCTCTCTCTTCCTTCTCCCTCTCTCTTCCTTCTCCCTCTCTCTTCCTTCTCCCTCTCTCTTCCTTCTCCCTCTCTCTTCTCTCTTCCTTCTCCCTCTCTCTCCTCTCTTCCTTCTCCCTCTCTCTCCTCTTCTTCCTTCTCCCTCTCTCTCCTCTCTTCCTTCTCCCTCTCTCTCCTCTCTTCCTTCTCCCTCTCTCTCCTCTCTTCCTTCTCCCTCTCTCTCCTCTCTCCTTCTCCTCTCTCTCTCTCTCCTCCTCTCTTCCTTCTCTCTCTCTCTCTCTTCCTTCTCCCTCTCTCCCTCTCTCCTTCTCCCCCTCTCTCCCCTCTTCCTTCTCCCCCTCTCCACTCTCCCTTCTCCCCCTCTCTCCCCTCTCCCTTCTCCCCCTCTCTCCCCTCTCTTCCTTCTCCCCCTCTCTCCCCTCTCTTCCTTCTCCCTCTCTCCCCTCTCTTCCTCTCTCCCTCCCCCCCCCCCCCTCTCCCTCCCTTCTCTCTCTCTCCCTGCTGCTGTCAATCCAATCCTGTGAAGAGGAGGTGGGCCAAGCCGCAGCGTGTGTGTCAATGGACGCACAACCTGTCTCTGGAGAGAGCCTGCAAGTGTACCACCATAGGAAGTGCTGGCAGGGGACCCCAGAAGAGGAAGTTCTGGGATTCCCTGTGCAAAACCATGCAACAGAGCAGGTAAGTATACCATTTTTATTATTTTAATTAAAAAATTCCCTTTACCACTGCTTTCCTTTTTTTCACTTGATGATCCTGCCAGTAACACACTTCCTGTCCTAGGGTTAAAACACTCTCTTTAATTTTTTGATCGAGCCTGCGGTGCGCTTAAACAAAACACCAAAGTAAACAAAAAAAGTGTATATAAATATACTCAAAAAAGTGCACTTGGGCTGCATCATATGGTTCTCTCCTGAAGGGGAATGACCCTTCCCTGCCCCCCCAGGACTCAAGACTCCTGACAGGGGCAAGGCACACTTAGGACCACCTAGCCAAAATTCCCGGAAGACCCCGCCCCTCAAGGTCAGCAGAAGCTGTCCTATGAGTACTAGATGAGTGGCTCTCCCGAACAGATGCCCCCCTCAATGCAGGGGAGGAATTAATCTAAGCATCACACATCCTCCTACTAGACTTCAGTGTAGGTCCCAAACCAAAGACCCATACCCAATAATCAAAGTGAAAAAAGACATATACAATATATACACTGCTCAAAAATTAAAGGAACATTTTTTAATCAGAGTATAGCATCAAGTCAATTAAACTCCTGGGATATTGATCTGGTCAGTTAAGTAACAGAGGGGGTTGTTAATCAGTTTCAGCTGCTTTGGTGTTAATGAAATTAACAACAGGTGCACTAGATGGGCAACAATGAGACAACCCCCAAAACAGGAATGGTTGTACAGGTGGAGACCACTGACATTTTGTTCCCTACCCATCTTTTCTGACAGTTTTTCACTAATTCTGCATTTGGCTAGAGTCAGTGTCACTACTTGTTGCATGGGGCGATACCTGGACACAGAGGTTGCACAGGCTGTCCACTCCTCCAGGATGGCACATCAATATGTGCCATTGCCAGAAGGTTTGCTGTGTCTCCCAGCACAATCTCAAGAGCATGGAGAAGATTCCTGGAGACAGGCAGTTATTGTAGGAGATCTGGACAGGGCCGTGGAGGGTCCTTAACCGACCAACAGGACCGTTGTCCACTCCTTTATGCAAGGACGAACCGGATGAGCACTGCCAGAGCCCTACAAAATGACCTCCAACAGGCCACTGGTGTGAATGTCTCTGACCAAACAATCAGAAACAGACTTCATGAGGGTGGCCTGAGGGCCCGACATCCTCTAGTAGGCCATGTGCCCAATGCCTCGCACCATAAAGCTCAATTGGCATTTGCCATTGAACACCAGACATGGCAGATCCATCACTGGCGCCCTGTGCTTTTCACAGATGAGAGCAGGTTCACCCTGAGCACGTGACAGACATGAAAGGGTCTGGAGAAGCCGTGGAGAATGTTATGCTGCCTGTAACATCGTTCAACATGGCCGTTTTGGTGGTGGGTCAGTGATGGTCTGGGGAGGCATATCCATGGAGGGACGTACAGACCTCTACAGGCTAGACAATGGCACTCTGACTGCCATTAGGTATTGGGATGAAATCCTTGGACCCATTTTCAGACCCTATGCTGGTGCAGTGGGTCCTGGGTTCCTCCTGGTACATGACAATGCCCTGCCTCATGTGGTGAGAGTATGCAGGCAGCTCCTGGAGGATGAAGGAATTGATATCATTGAATGGCCCCCACGCTCGCCTGACCAAAATCCAATAGAACACCTCTGAGATATCATGTTTTGGTCTATCCAATGCCACACCCCCACCCCCCTTCATAATACGGAGGATCAACAGGTATTTTATGTACCCATCCAACAGATACTGCAAAACAAAACACTTTCTAATGGTATATTTAACAGAGCAAAAGAGAACAAAGAGTTCATCATTCAGGTTTAGATACACTTTAATGATTGTCCAGTGCTACTAGTTCCACATTTTATCTTTTAGATTGTAAGCTCCATGAGCAGAGCCCTCCAATTCGTTCTGTATCAAACTGTATTGTAATTGTACTGTCCCCCTTATATTGTAAAGCGCTGCGTAAACTGTTGGTGCTATATAAATCCTGTATTATTAGAACTATAATAATAATAATATCTAGCAGTTTAACATATTTTCTCCTCTTACAGAAAAGCCATTTTGATGAGTAAAGATCTGCGTATTAAGTTACTGAATGAAATCCTGCATGGAATAAAGGTAAGTGTATAAGTTAGGAAAACTGGCATCACAGGCCAAAGTTTTGGCTCTTTGTGGGATCCCTTTTCCAATCACTTTATCTTGAGAAAGGGATCCTGTGAGGTCCCAAAATGCTGGCATGTGATGTCTGTTGCTTTATGTGAATAAAGGACCAGATTAGCACTATACTAAGGTGTGGTGGTAAAAAAATAATAATTTTCCTATGATTGTTTTGTGGTGCCATTCTCCTAATTTGGGCAAGCCTGTAAGGTGTGCAGCGTATATAATACAACTTTTCTCTGCATATAAATTATCAGGTTCACCTTTCATCACTTGGGTCTTGGGTTCACTTTCCATAAAGAAACTATATGCTTGGAGTTTCTATATCCCCCCTTTGTTTATATAGGTATGCTCTGGGTACTCATGTTCACTCCAAAAATATATAAGTATGGTAATGAATACGAAACCTGTGCTTAGAGCAACATGTTGGCTGCCTGATCCAATGCCTTTAAAATTTCATAATCAAAGTCACTGGCCCAGTACATTCATCCAGATCAGTTCAGACTTGCCCCATGCTAGTTCCAGGTCAGTAACTCACAAGGTATTTTAGTTAGAAGATTAGATGGACAGCCAAATAGCTAGCATTTCTGGTAGGAGGTTTAGAAATGGCAGCCCCTATTAGCTAACTTGCCTTAGAGGTCCTCAGGGGCACCAAGTAATACGAATGGTTCAACGTCCTAACAAAGGATGAAATAAAATGATTCTGTTTTTTTTTTTTTTTTTTTCAAAAAAAAAAACACCCCGTTCACATTGGGTGCAACTTGGCATGCGATTCGCATGCCATGTGACTTGTAAATCGTATGCCAAGCTGCACCCTATTGTCTGCAGTTAGAGCGGTCAAATCAGTTCGGTTCCGACTTGGTTGGAGCTGCACCAATTTCTAAAGTAGTACATGTACTACTTTTGGTGCGATTTGCATAGACATCTGTGTCAGATGTCTTGCAAATTGCACCTGAAATCGGCATCTCACCTGACTTTGAAATCGTGTGACTTCACTGTAAGTCGCACGATTTCAAAGTCGGGCTTGATGTGTCCGGGGTGTAAAGGTCCTGGTTTCCACATCAGAACTACACGTCTTTATATATGAATTATAATCTGTTACAGGAATAGTTTACTTAGATGATTTAAAAAAATGTATATGCAGTACTGTGCAACAGTTGTAGGCAGGTGTGAAGAAATGCTGTAAAGTAAGAATGCTTTCAAAAATATATATTTTAATTGTTTAGTTTTATAAAAAAAAACAATAACAAGGCAGAGGTTAATACTACTTCCCACCATGGTTTCTTGTACTGTCTTCTATTATGTATTCTGGT